GGAGGGACGGATCCGTCCCCTCACCCCGCTGCTTGTGCACACAGCCAGCACTTGGTTGGCCTTTGCTACAGGGCAGGGACATGCTGCTGCTGCACCGCCACCTTCTTGTCCTCCAGAACCGTTTCAGCAAGGCTGCCTTCCAGGCAGCAGCCCCAGGCTGTCCTGTGGCACAGGATTACTCTGTCCCAGGAGCAGGACTTTGCATTTGCCTTTGAACTCCATAACATTCTTTCTAACCTGTGTCTCCAGCCTGTCAAGGCACCTCTGAATAGTAGCTCTGCCCTTCAGCTTGTGGACCGCTCCCTCCAGTGTGGTGTCACCTGCGGGCTTGCTGAGTGCATGCAGTGCCCCATTCTCCTGTTCATGAACGTGAAAGGTCTTAAATGGTGTTGGCCCTTCCCTCAGTTCCTGAGGTGTGGTGTTAGTAGCTGACCACCAGCTGGACTCAGACCTAGGTGGTCTAGCCAGTTTTCCATTCATGATCTGATTATTAGCCCGCATGTCACCTGCGTGGCTAGAAGGGTACCATAGGAGACCATGCTGAAAGCCTTCTTAAAGTAAACCATATCTGCTGCTCACCCCTTACCTGCACAGCCACTGTTCGCAGAAGCCAGCCAGGTTGGTCGAGTGTGATTTGCCATTGGTAAGTCTGTGCTGGCTGGTCCCCGTCCCCTTCTTGTGTGCTGTGTGCCAGGAAGTGTTTCTAGGAGTGTTTGCTCCATAACTTTCCCAGATGGGGGTGAAGCTGACTGACCTGCAGTTTTCAGGACCCTTTTTCATGGCAATCTTGCGGGCTGGTGTGATGTTTGCCTTTTTCCAGCCATCAGAAGCACACCCCCCTTTACCACTGTGACATTTCAGCACTCACAGGGACATCAGCCATCCCCCTCATGTGTATCTGGTGCCATGGACTTGTACACGTCTGGTTGTCTTCAGCGATCCCTCTCTTGATCTTCTGTGTAATGCTGTGTTCCCACAGACTGCCTCTGGGCAGAGGGACTTGGGAGGCCCAAGGAACAAGGCAAAAAAGGCACCAATCACCTCAGCCCTTTCTGTGTCTTGTGTCACTACGTCCCTTGCCTCACTCAGCACCAGGCCTTTCCGCAGAGGTCAGGGTGGTTGACGTCCCCCATGGGCACCAGGGCCTGTAATTGTGAGTCTTCCTCTAGCTCTCTGAAGAAGATGTGCCCATCACCTCCCAAGTGGTTATTACCTGCTCCGAGGCATGGCTCTGTGTGTTCAGGCTACTTCTTTGTGCAGATCACAACCCCTTCCACTTGCCTCCTTGCTGCTGTTTCCCAAAGAGCCTGTGCCATCCATTGTAGCTATCCACTCGTGTAAGCTTCCCACCGTGCCTCTGCCGTCCCAGCAGGATTGTACCTTTGTGTGCGGACTGCTGATTCTTCCTGCTCGTTCGCCTGTTGTGTGCGTGTTTGTGCAGACTCTCGAGATGGGGACCTTTCATGGGGAAGTGAAGGAGTCCCCCCCCATCATGCTGTTGCCCAGACATCCTTGCTATCCCCTGCTTCTTTCCAGGTCTACCAGCCTGGGCCACCCAGTCTGCCTGGCCCCTGCCTGCTCCCCCCCTGCGTCCCCACCAGTCCTCTCGCCACTCCTCCCTGACCTGTGCCCACCTTGCAGGCATCCCTTTTCAGGCCGTGATGTGCCCATCTCTAACGGCTCGGGTTTCCTGGTGTCTCCGGATGGGCTCATTGTGACCAACGCACATGTGGTGGCGAACCGGCGGCGTGTGCGCGTGAAGCTGGCCAGCGGCGAGCAGTATGATGCCGTGGTGCAGGACGTGGACCAGGTTGCAGACATCGCTACCATCAAGATCAAGCCTAAGGTGTGCACCGTAGCTGTGGAGATACTCCCTTCGTTTCCTCCCATCTGCTCACCGACCTCCTCTCTTCCAGCACCCACTGCCCACCCTGCCCCTTGGGCGCTCCTCCGAGGTGCGGCAGGGAGAGTTCGTGGTGGCCATGGGCAGCCCGTTCGCCCTGCAGAACACCATCACCTCCGGCATCGTCAGCTCTGCCCAGCGGGGCAGCCGGGAGCTGGGCCTGACTGCCTCTGACATGGAGTACATCCAGACCGATGCTGCTATTGATGTAAGAGGAGCTTGCGGTGCACAGCGGGTTGGCACCTCATCCCGGCTGCCCTCTTTGGGGAGGGGGGAGCTGGGGAAGAGCTGTGGGCACCGTGAGGTCAGAGGAGGCTGGGCACAGAGCACTGGGAGACGAAGGGATTCTGGCCAGTCACCTGGGCGCTGGCTGCGTTTCTCGGCCTGAACCCTGTTCTCTGGATTCTGCCTCCCTGCCGCGGGTCCTGCTGTGTGAGGATGTCGCTTTCATGGCCTGTTTACTGCTCTCTCCTCTGCTGCAGTTTGGAAACTCCGGGGGCCCCCTCGTCAACTTGGTAAGTTCTCCTGCTTGCACTCTCACTGGCAGGGCCAGAGAGGTGCCGCGTGCCCTCCGGTCTGTGCCCCCTGGGGCTCGGTGCCCCTTGGTGGGAGCGCTTGTGGGTGCTAGGAGGGAGGGACTGTGCATGCACCAGGCTCCTTGTGAGGAGGAGGAGGAGCAGAGGAGCAGGCCGGGGTGGGAGCCCTGTGCAGTGTCTGTTTCAGGGAGTCGGAGCCGATGGGCTCATGGCAGAGCTGAGCCCTGCGCTGGTGAGGCTGGCATGGCTTGTGCTGGCGGGGCAGAGGGAGGGGCGGCGTGGGCTGCAGCCTGCGGGACGGGTCCCTGCCTGCTCAGCCTCAGCAGGGTTGGGCAGGCTGCAGAAGCAGCAGGCTGGGAAGGGATGGGCACACAGGTGGGGCTCCAGGCTTGCATGGTAGTTCCCCTCCTCTCTGCAACAGTGCAGGCTGGAGAGCACAGTGCCCTTTCTCCTGCAGGATGGCGAGGTGATTGGGGTGAACACTATGAAGGTGACATCAGGCATCTCTTTTGCCATCCCTTCAGACCGGCTGCGGAAGTTCCTGCAAAAGGAGGAGCAGCGCAAAAGTGAGTTGGGTGCCTCCCTGCTCGGGTATTGGGGGAAGGAGGCCAGAAGGAGGGGGATGAAAGAGGGAAGCTCTGGCACAGCTGGGCTTTGGGCCCTTCTCCTGAGAGAAGGGCAAGCAGAGCAGGAGAAAGAGTCTTTGGGGGTAAGAAGATTCTCCCATCTGGCATGAAACTCCCCTCTCCACCAAGCCAGGAAACATGAAATTGCTACTCTACCCTTAATTGGTTTAGTGGTGGACTTGGTAGTGTTAGGTTAATGGTTGGACTGGATGATCTTAAAGGTCTTTTCCAACCTAAACCACTCTATGATTCTATGGAAAAAGCTGTGCTGCTACTTCCCTGCCCGCAGGGACCTAACAAACTGCAAGGAGGATGCTGCTCTGCATCTGCTGCAGGTAAAGACTTTTAAAGTATCCTAAGTAGCTTGCACTGAAGTCCCCAGGAGTAGGTGAGGATTTTTTTTTTGTTCATTGCTACTTTTCAGTAGATCTCAGCATATGGGAAAAGCAGTGGACCATTATTTGGTGTTCAAAAAAGGGAAAGGATAACCTGGAAACTGGGGGCTACTTAGTCTTGTGTGTACTAATGGAAATGCAGGTGCAGGATTCAGCTGTATCATAAAGGACAGGTAGTTAATTTAGTCCTGTAGAACATTACCTCTTTTTGTTCCTTTGTGTTTGTGATTATTTACTTAATGCAGACTCTTGCTTTCTGGTTCTCATGTTGACACCATGGAGTGATATTCTCAGTCAAAAAAGTGACAACTCAAATCAGGAAAGCAAAGTATGCAATACCTATAAAGCTCTAAGTAGTAAATGGAACTAAAATAAGCTGCTGATGGGAAATCAGAATGACCGCCTCTGCATGGTGTCTGCCTTGAGATTTGTGGGCTTTGTGACTCGCCTGGCCCAGCCCAGTGCTAGTTTGAGTGTGTGTCTGTTTTCAGCCTTGTCATTTGATGTCCTTTCCTTTGACAGGCTCCTGGTTTGGCAATACAGAGACAAAGCGCCGTTACATAGGTGTGATGATGCTGACTCTTACACCCAGGTATGTGTTCTGAGGTCGGGGGCCAGCAGACCGGTCTTGTTGGGGCATGGTAACTGTGTGATGGGATCTTCCAAACTAACTGAGAGTGCCTGTTTTTGGGAGGATTGTCTTCGCAGCTTGAGCGTTCGCTCTCAAATCTCTTTGTGCTCGTGTTGTGTTTAGACTCTAGGCTGTGTCAGAGGTAAATTAGAAGCTTGCAAGTTTCTACACTTGTGGCAGAATCTGGAAGCAGATAAAAAGTCCCTGAACCTACCCCCGAGAGTGCCAGATCAGTCTATAATTGTCATTGAGGGGAATGCGATAAAGAGCCCTTGTGACACAGCATGAATGGAAAGCCACCGGAAACGTTGTGTAATTAATAGATATGCAACGTGCCAACTGAAAGTTGTGATGAAACAGTTGGGCGAGTTGTACTCTCTAGGAGGAGGGATCTACCAGGTGAATTGCTGTGGTGCAGAAACAGTTCTAGAATATGGGACTTTCAGAATAAGAAATGGCACGTTTGCCTGCAGTAGTCGACTGAGGGAGGAGGCAAACAGGTCTGAGAGCAGGCTGTGTTGGCACACACAGCGTGGCTCACCCGGAGGGGGAGGCTCCTGGGTCTCAGGAGGGAGGCTGGGTGCTGCCTCTGGAAAGAAGTCATCATGGTGCTGACCAGTACAGCACTGGCAAGTGGGAAAAGGATGACTTCTTGTGGGTCTGAGAGTCTTCACCCTCATGGCTGTGACTTGGCAAGGGCATTGTGTTACCTCTGCATCTCAGGGAATGCTCTGGTCAGCAAGGAGGGCTGCGGACAGACAACCTCCTTGGGTCTGATAGAAGGATCACCTGCTGCCCTTGCTTCAGCTGGTCCCCGAGATGTGCCTGTGGCCTTGGCAGCCAACCAAGCACCCTGAGACAGGGGCCCTGCGGGCAGTGGCAGCTGCGCCCTGCTGAGGGCTGGACAGCCCTGCATGGAGCTCCGCTCAGGGCTGCGAGCCCTGGAAGGGAACTGCTGCAGGAGCTATAGCTGAACGCCTACCAGCAGCCTTCTAGATGCAGCAAGTGCATGTGTTAGGAGTGTGCTGGACCTGCACTCCCACCTCTGAGAGCAGTTTTCCTTTTCAAGGACAGAGTGCCTGCTCTGGTTCCTTGGCTCTTGCAGCCGTCTTTCAAGAGACCTTTAACTCACTCTTGCGGCTCAGCATGCTAGTGGGGCTGGTGGTTGTAGTGTCCTTGGCAGAAACACCTTTCAGGGCGGTGCTCTGACCTTGCTAAAGCTCTTGTGGCTCTTGTGTGTTGGTTGGGTTTGCGGGCTGCCTGCACCTCTGGACACCACAAGCAGTCTCTGGGGTTCCTGCCTGGGACACAAACAGGGGAGCAGATGCTCTGTGCCTCCTGAGATTCAGGGCAGTGGCGTGGGTGGGGGAACACTGTGAGCGTTGCTGGCATGCCCAGTAGATGGTGCTGGTATTCAGCAAAACCTGTGGGAAGTGGGAGCCCAACCTCCTCCTGCTGCAATGGACGGGCGTGCAGGACAAAGTCTGTCGGGGAAGAAGCGTGAAATGCTTAGGACACGGCTCCTGGGGAGCGTGTCCAGCTTCAGCACGGGCAGTGAGCAGTCTGCCAGCTGGTCCTGGGAAACCATCTGACTGCAAGGCTTGTTTGTGCCCAGTTGCTGGGAAGATTTCCCAGAAAGGGATCACTTGCCTTGGAACTGGGTTGTTACACTGTCTGAACATGCTCATTTGAAAGGCCAGAAACTTGCCCTAGCACAGGGAGATGGAGAAGCTCCATGTTGGGTAGGTTCTCAGCATCCTGGTCCTGTTGCACAGATTGTCTGGCAGGCAGGAGCTTCCTGAGACACCAGGCCTTTGCCCTGCTGCCCGAAGCGAGCGGAGGTGTGCCAATGGCTTTGAGCTCAGCTGGGGTGGAGCTCATAGGTACCCTCGCTTGGCTGCAGAAAGCCACAGGAAGAGACAGGGCCCTGGCTAGCACAGCGCTGTGCAGTCATCTTACAGCATGGAGTAAGTAGGGACTGAGCAAAGGAATTTGAAAACAGCAAAGGAAAGAGGTGCTGATTATTGGGAACAGGTTCTACATGGAACTGCTGCTGGGGTGCGTTGCTGGTCAGCGGTGTTAACTAGAGGGACGTCCAAAACATGGGTTGGTTCTTCATGCAATGTGTGATAGAAATTGCTGATGTTGTAGGGTTCAAAAGGGCAACTAGAAAACTTTACAGAAGAAAAAAATTTACTGGCTTTCAAATGCAAAGATGCAGCATTACAGCTCAGGAGCTTCTTGAGCCAGGCAGCTGGAGGCCATAGGCATCTGGGGAACTCTCTCATCCACAGCTGGCGTTGTAGGTGATAGGGTGGTAGGGAAGATGGACCCCTCATCTGACTGATGTGGACCGGGTCTGGCTGGGATGGAGTGATTTTCTTCATAGCAGTCTATGTAGTGCTGTGTGCTAGATCTCTGACCAAAACTGTTGGTAAAACACAGATGTTTTAGCTGTTGCTGAACAGTGCTTACGCAGCGTCAAGGCCTGCCCTGTTTCTCACTTGGCACCTCCAAGGAGGAGGCTGGGACAGCTGACCTGAACTGACCATGTCATATGATGTCGTGCTCGGCAATAAAACTGGGGGGAGTTTTTCCAAAGTAGCCATTGCTTGGGATTGGCTGGGCATCAGTCTGCTGGTGGGAGGAGGTCAGTGAGTGCCTTTGCATCACTTGCCTTTTTTTTTTGCCTTTTTCTTTCCCCTCTTCTTTCTTTCTTCACCTGTTAAGCTATCTTTATCTAGACCCACAAGTTTTCTTGGTTTTGCCCTTCAAATTCTTTCCCCCATCCTGCTGAGGGAGTGACCCGAGCAACTGGGTGGGGACTTACCTGCCAGCCAGGGTCAACAACCCACCACAGCCAGGTGCAGCCACTCTTAGTGCTCTGTAGCCTAAAATCACACATTTACTATGTTTATACAGAGACCTGCTTAAGGGCACATATTGTTCAGCTTTAGTGACTGAGGCAAAGAAGCAGACTTGACTTAGTAAATGTGCAGACCGCATCAAATCAGTAGTTCTATCAATAGTGCCCAGTGACAGGACAAGAGGCAACGGGCATAAACCGAAACACGTGAGATTCCTTCTGAACACAAGAAACTGCTTTTTTACTGTGAGATGGGTGGTCAAAGCCTGGCACAGGTTGCCTGGAGAGGTCAGAGAGACTTCAACCTTGGAGATACTCAAAACCTGACTGAACACCATCCTGGGCAACCTGCCCTGACTGAGCCTGCTTGAGCAGGGGGGTTGGGCTAGATGATCTCAAGAGTTCCCTTCCAACTTCAACCATGCTGTGATCGTGTGAAATTAAGACGGGATAGCAGCTTGTAAAGGTCTGTTGAAAAAGTACAGTAGAGTTCAGCAAGGGCCAGTGTGAAGTGGGGAGCCATAACTGAACAGGTAGTACCTGATAAGGAACACAGAGCTGGGCAGAGAGGCTGTGAGAATTTCTGGGGCTGCACCGCATCAGAGCTGATGCACGGTGTTTGAGGGAAAGAATGCTGTTTACACGATGCATGTTTACACCTCCACTCTGGTGAGATCCAGCTGCAGCGCTGTGTCCAGTTCTGGATGCTTTCAGGAGGGGTGAGGAGCAGTTGGAGAGAGTCCAAAAAGGAGCAGTGAGAGGTGCAGAATTTAAGCTAGGTTTAGAAAACCTAATCTGTGGGAAGATTGGAGCAACTGGGATTGTTTAGTCTGTAGACTGCAGAGGAGGCATGTGGGTATACCTCTGCTTGATGTGTCTGGCAAAGAGAGGGGGCATAGCTTTTGTTCTGTGTCCTACCCACCAAAGGCAGAGAAGTGAAACTGCAGCAGGGGAAGGGTAGATCTGATACCAGGAAGGGCAGTCTGGCATGGGGCTGCTCAGACAGGGGAAGTGCATCACCAGCAGCTGTGATCCAGCTGGCAGCTGCTCTGGAGGTTTCCAGCTCTTTTGTCCTCTAGTTTTTGACAGGAAGATGGTGGTGTTTGGGTGCCTCTGGGGTTTGCAGCTGGTCGCTTGTGCTTAGCAGTGTGCAGGGATGCAGGAGAAGAGGTTCTGTGGCATGGACTCCAAGCCTGTACGGCTGTGGTGGGGTGGGAGCCCTGCTCTGCCTTGCAGCTCCTTACCATGATGATGATATTCACTCTGCAGCATCCTGGCTGAGCTGAAGCTGCGTGACCCCAGCTTCCCCGATGTCTCCTACGGAGTGCTGATCCACAAGGTGATCATCGGCTCCCCAGCCCATCAGTAAGTGCTGCCCTGTGCCTTGGGGGTGACGTGGGAGAGCAACTGTGCAGGATGGGATGTGTTTAGCTCTGAGGGTTTTGCTCCAGAACAGCAGGGCTTGGGCCCCGCAGCCATCAGTCTGCAGCAGAAACCGACCGGTGACCCTTGCCCAGGCTTGGCATCCTGTTGGCCAAGGTAGCTGTGTGGCTAGAGGAGCACCTGGTGCACTAGCCCAAGCCTCCTGTAGTGCCTGGTTCCCGTTCCTTCTGGGAAGACAAAGCTGAGCGTCTGCTTCGCCCGCTGTGCGTTCCTGTCGTCACTCTCCCCACAGGGCAGGGATGAAGGCAGGTGACGTGGTGCTGGAGATCAACGGACAGGCATCACGCCGTGCGGAGGACGTGTACGAGGCGGTACGGACGCAGCAGAGCCTGGCCTTGCTGGTGCGGCGTGGCTACGACACTTTGCTGGTGAGCGTCATCCCTGAGGTCACGGAGTAGCGGTGCTGTCGCGCAGGCTGCTGCGGGCGCTGGCTGGCGGTGCTGGCCGAGAGCCGAGAACACAGCACTGAGCTGTGTCTGTGCGCTGGTCAGGGAGAGACAGAGCTTGTGAGGGACTGGAAGGGGCCAGGCAGAGGGGCCCAGCCCGGTGCTTGGATGAATTCGTGGTGCAACCATTCCCCTCTGTACTCAAATAAAGCACTTTTCTAGGGACCCCCCAGTGCTGTGTGGCCTCCTTCCCACATCAGTGGCAGTTGCTGAGGAGAGGCTGGGCTCTGTGGGACCCTGTCCTCACACGAGTCCTTCCAGCCGGGGAGGAGCACACCAGCTGTGCCTCCGGGGATCTCCTTGGTGTTAGGGTAGAGGTGTCCTGCCACCCACTCGGAAGCTTCCCGGGCTGGGATCTGACTCCTCCATCTGTAACGCGTGGGCACCCGTCGAGCCATGGCTGGTGAGGCCACCTCCTCTGCGAGTGAGAGGGGCCCTGGAGCTGCTCTGGGGCAGGCTTTGCTGGGGTGGCTTTCCCTGCCTCCCTGGTGTGCCAGCTGAGCTGGTCCTTGGCAGCAATCGCCGCTGTGGCTGTGCCCCTGAGGCCAGAGGGACGTGGCAGATGTCTGCCTCATCAAATTGCTTCCCCTGGGAGCATTGCAAATGCTCTAAGGTCTGCGTCCACATCTGCACCCACGAAGCAGCTTTCTGGGGCTTTGGTGAAAGGGGTGTCAATACCAGACTCCAAGATGGCCAGCGCAGCGTCTTGCTGGCCCTGATGTTCGGGGGGGCCAAAGGTGGGAGCCGGGGCTCTGCATGCCTCCTTGGTGCTGCCTGTCCCTCCCCCAGGCCGGTGTCTGTCTGTGCTGGAGCTCTGCTCTCCCACGCACGCAGCCTGGCCCCTGGGGGCCGGCGGGGCCCTCCCTGTGCTCTGCAGCTGGCGGCCGAGAGCCCGGCCGGCCCTTCTGGGAAGGAGCAGCTCTGGCTGTTCATTGCCTTCCTGGAAGAGCCCCTGCTCTGCTACAGCCCTCGCCCGCGGGTGG